AAGTGGTATGGGTATTGAGGTCATAATTTTGTTATCTTGACAACACTATAGGGTGCCTGTGGATCTCACTGGAGTGCGAATAGGTCTGCAGTTCAGTCTGCGGGTTGGTCTGTGGCTAGGACTGCTCGTCGGGCAGGTCTATCCTTGTCACTCTTATGCACCACCCCATGGCCCAACATTCTCAAGAGGTTCTTTAAGTAGGCGGATTTGTATCGCCAGTTTAGCCACCATTTAAAATTGCTGCTTAAACAGGGCTAATTCTCCTTTAATATCCTGCTTTAATATGCAGAGTAATCCCCACACACTGCATTCTGAGGATCGTTCCGGCAGACATCTTGGGGATTCTCTGCAGCTCGTGGGGGAGCTCTGTTCTCTCAAGAAGGGTCTTTGCTATTCTTCTGACCAGCATTTTTTTTCATCTAAAACTGACACACCTAGCTAAATGCTGTGAGTCAGCCTCCGATAAGCCCAGTCAGAGCTGAGGGGGCTGGTAGGCTCAGACTGTCTTGTTTTCCATTTATTGGTCCTCCTGCCGTTGTCATGGCAGCTAATTGGCAATAGGTTCAGACATAATTAATGGATCAATGATGTAATAGCTTTACCTGATACGATCTCATGGCATGAGCTATTAGATTAAGATGAGAAACAGTTGAGGGCCTGGTTAGGATTGTGCATGCGTGTGTGGCAGTGGAGTGATGTTTAGTTTGACAAAAAAAATGCAGTACTACATGACGTAAAGATGACGTGAGGAAGGGGAAGAGGTTTGCTCGCTGTAAACATTCGAGTCACGCAAGATCACCGCCACTGCCTGTGAGACAGGGGGAGTCCAGCCAAACGCAGCTCTACTCAGCCGTCCTCTTTATGATGGGGAGGGGGGTGGTGAACGAGAATGACCGAGGTTACCCATTTGTACACGCTCAACTGATAATTGCGTAAAGGTGGATGCGGGGGGAGGATTTGCCGACACTGGTCCACTGGGGGAGGAGGCACAGGTTAATGAGACAGTTCCGTACTTGTGATCCAACAGTGCCTCAGCTGTGCCCTCAAGGGGGCGCTCTGTCCGACCACGTTTCTCATTCGATTTTGTGATACTTTGATTTGGAGAGAAAAAAATTAAAAAAAAAAAAATATATATATATATATTTCCTACCCCAGCATCGGAGAATATATACCTCCAATGCTGGGGTAGCAAGGGGTGGTGGGGGGGGTGTTATGAGCCTCCGCATGTCACCTGCGGGCCATCAGCGTGCCACGTGATGACTGCCACTCGGCTTGCCTTTCCGGCCCGCGCTGAAATCTCACCTCGGGCAACGACAGAGGAGAAATAAAACGGCCACATTAATATTTGATAGGGAGCCAGCCATCTTTGATGGGCGTGTAATGAATAGAACTGAAACTGCCACCTGCTCTCTTCGCTCTCGTTCAGAAGGAGGGAAACTACTTCCAGCCTTGGAGCACTGCTCATTAGCATATTAACTGTTGGGTTGCCACGGTGATGCCATGCGGGCCGCGCGATTTGCTAGCTACGTGTGTGTGTCTCCCTGCTGCTCTTCCTCCTATTTATCATTAGATATTGGGTTATGGAGATGATGCCAGCAGTGCTAGAGGCGCCCTCTGTCTGCATGTAGACCTGCCCATGATGTCTTATATTCTCCGACAGAGGAACCAGTTTCTCAACTACCTGCAGAAACGGGAAGTTCTCTTTAATTACATCCCTCTGAACAATACGTTACAGCGAAACCCTGTAAACATTTGCTAGCTTCGAGTCCAAAAATATCCTGACAAAAACAGACGGAGACGCTCCAAGGAAAAAAATGCGGCTTGAATATCGCAACACCCCGAAAGTTTCGGATCCCCGCCCAGAACGCCGCTCGAAGGATGGCCACCAGGTGGCGTTCCACAAAAACGGGAAGGTTACCGTGAACTTTACTACTGGCACACGATTTCTACCTGAAGCTGAGTGTCCCAAAACCAAAACAGAGGGACAGTGAAAAGCAGAAAATACCTTTACTATCCCTTATGGAGGGGGAGTGGTCATGCATGACTGTGGTATGGCGTCTAAGACCAACTTTGTGAGCCAGACAAATCCCTGAATGTGTTCCCTGGATATGGCAGCCTTTCTGAGTGGATCCAGTGCAGCAGTCTTATATGTGCTCAACTGGAGTTTTGCAGCATTCCAGCGGAATAATAATTCCTGTGGGGTCTCCATCAGTAGAGGTCATTTTATACCCCGCATAACGATGTGAAGCAAACTGCAGGATAATGGCTTTCAGAAAGACAGTGTGCGACCTTGAAGCCATGTTCTCAACATATGTATGATTGACGTTTTTCTCTATATGTATTGGCAAACGCTATTAAGTAAAAAGCAAAATAACAGCTAATTTAAATTACTGACTGATCTATGAAGCTTTGCCGTGAAGGGGAATATGGGACTGCTTATAAGCAGCTTTTCCTCCTAGAGAACCCAAGGTGCATCCATTCTCCGGGGCTGTCGGAGAACTGGCATCTTTCCTGCTGAGACACAGCAGCCTTTCCGGTGGGGAAATCGAAGCCGTATCGAGCGGGAAGTGAGATTTAGTCACTCGACATGCAGAGATGGGCTACACAGCGATGGGGAGGGTGACAGCGCTTACAGGCCCGCAGCAGGAACCAGAGAAAATGAGCCTTTTACGAAACACGCAGAACGAGCGAGTCAGAGACGCAGATCGACTACTTGTGCGTCAAAGAAACACAGTAGGAACCGGAACCGCAAATGTGATGCATTTAGCACTTATGTTGGATTAGCAGGGCTCTCCGAAGCAGCTTCCCTGGTAGACTGATGGCCAATTTTTGTTATGTCAAGTTGATTATTAAAGAACAATTTTACTCCAGGAGCCTGGGCCACTGTTACTATGGGGTTAATAAGTATAGTACTGGCATCCCAAAAAGGATGAACCTCTGTATTCAGGCCCCCACCACTGCCCTCTACTGGACAAGGAGCTTCCAGGTGGATGATGGGTACTGGGTATAAGAAAATGTTGTGAAGGGGTGGGGAGTTTCAGATAGTAATAAATGTCGCCACCCCACTTCCACCTGCACAGAGTCTCCAGGCTGCATGGCTTTGGCCTGCAAGCTGAGCTGCAGATTGTGGCCTGATACATCTCCGTTTTTTCACGCCCTCAGGCCCGGTGCCAGAATCTCTGAAACAGGCTGGTCTCCTGGGTCTCGGGTAACCAGATGCCTTACAGATAAGAATGGTCCGGTTTTGGTAAAACACGTGTGCTGAAACGCCCCCGGCAGTACAATCGCAACCTTTTTTCCCCGCGAGTCTGTAGGCAGACAGTGGTACAGTTTACATGTCGTTAAAGGGTACGCTCCAGGTTTTCGTGCTTCACGGGCATGACCGTGCGATTCCCCGGTCCGTTCTACTCACTGGCTCTGCCGGTACAGGCGAACCTGCAAGACCTTATGGCTACGTATGCGAACGTAAGCGTTTAGGGCGTAAGACCAATGAACATGCTGTGTCTGGCAGCATGCTAATATGTTAATTGCTTAATATGTTAATATGTTTACAAAGTAGGGCTGCCGCGATTAGTAAACATAGTCGATGACATCGATGTGAAAATGCGTCGACACCAATATTCGAAGTCGACGCATCGTTTTTTTAAAATTATTTTAATGAAATTTTCTTTTTGAGGTCTAAAACGCATAAGTTCATTGTGACAAATGTTTTCCTTCAGTGTCACCACGTAATTGTGAGAGTATTTCAAATTATCACAAGACAAAAGAGGTGGTTTTACACAGCAAAAATTCGACACTAGCGCTACGTACGAGCATCTGAAGAGAAAACACACGGGTGCTATTCTGGATGATGGCCCGTCAGAAAACGTAAAACCCAATGTGTGTTGTTTATTCATGTTTATTAAATTACCATCAGCATGGAGAGTAGCTGCTGAATATATATTTATTAATAAATCCAAGTTTCTGCCTGCTACATTAGAAACTCCAATGACTAGTGTTTGAAAATGTGCTTTGGCTCGTATTGTTTGTTCCTGCCCATTGGGTTTCTTAGGATCAGTGTTGTTATCGTATACTGAAACAAAAATGGACACTAAATTAAAAAAAAAGAATCGTGAAATGAAATAAAACTATTTACCAAAAACATGTCGTACCGCTATCCACCGACATCTTTGTACTTTTTTATACACAATATCTCTTCTTTTAAAAATGTTGTGGCTGCTGAGCTTCCCTTTCTTCACCCCGATTTTAGTACTTATAGGTTCCATGATTTACCAAAACAGTAGCGTGCTCCGCTTACCTAATTTAATAAACATAAGGGTAAGCCGAATTTGCGGAGATTACTAACTTATGGGCATCACAGTATGCATATCATTAATATTTCAGGCGTACTAATAATATGCTCATCGAATTGTGGGTGTAAGGTCCGTATAGTGCCAAAAAACCGGGGTCTCTTGTCTAAAGCACTGCAATGACATAGTTTGTTGTCAAAATAAAACGAACTTGAATTAAATGAGCAATTTGAATTTCTGGAGGAAGATTGATCGTATAGATTAATCGACCAATCGGTAAAATAGTTCCGAGATTAATTGATAGATAAATAGTAGTTAGTGGCAGCCCTAGCATTAACTTCATGTGGAAATCATGTATCGTCCTGAGAGGAGATTAGCCTGCTTACATAACGTGAATAATTTAGTGCGAATGGCGCACATAAATAACAGCACGCGGGCATTATGTAGATATAGCGCTTCCATCTTGGATCAGTGAAATACTGTATGTTTGACGTTAAGTTATGGAGCCGGCGGCGGAGTGACTGTGAGCACCCTCTGCTGGGCTACATTCGCACAAAGAAAGGGAGCGAGAGAGGAGAGAGAGGAGCGAGCGAGCGAGCGAGAGAGTGAGAGAGAGAGAGAGAAAAACGAGTCCGGATTTTAACGACATCTCTAATATTCATGCTGATGCATTTCGCTGCTTTGTGCTTTCATTTTCCACTGCTCTACCAGCGGCCTGCACTCTCCGAACGCTCCTTGCCGAGGAGGAGGGGGGTGGAACAAGGGAGCGGGCGGAAAAAAAGTGGGAGACGCAGAAGGAGCACGCAGCCGAGCTTTTGTGTACAAAGAAGGAGCAGCCTACCTTTGAGCTCGGGATCGGAGAGGAGAAACCAGAAAGGATACGGGCGGCCGGGCGAGCGAGAGAGGCGAGGGGAGAGAGGCCAAGTGGCCGCACCGGTGGAGGGAGTCAATGAGAGGGGGGGGGAGGCGAGCAGAGGCAGGCAGAGAAACGCCGCGGCACATGGAATGAGCGCTCCCGGGGCCGCCACGTCCCACGGCAGCCCCGCCACGTCCCACGGCAGCCCCGCCACCGAGTGAAGCCAGAACCAGCCACCGCCGCCGCTGCCTCATGCTCTCATCCTGAGCCCAGCCCGCGGGGGGAGAGGAGGAGGAGGTGGAGGAGGTGGCAGTGACTGTGGTGGGGTGGGGGGGGAGGGCTCTGGAGCGGGGGCTTGGAAGAAGCGGCTAAAGGAAGCGCGACGGCGGGAACCCGAGGGGGGAGAAAATCCCAGCGAAAGGACCAGGCTTTTGTTAGGCGGCCGGGGGAGGGAGTAAAGGAAAAGAAAAATGTCTACGGTGAAGAGGCCAAGAGGAAGGGTGAGTGTGAGCCGAGCAGGCAGCCCGGAGGAGGGGAGGAGGGGCGCACAGGAACTCGGCAGCCTCCCCCGCCACTGCCTCATGCGGCAGCCTCCGCCATCTTGATCTCGTTGCAGCTGCCTGTGTTTTTTTTTTCCCTCTCCTTCCTCCTCATTTGTTTAGCTGCGGCAGGCCTTAAGGTGGCATGCTTAACACTTTCTCTTTACGTCTTTCTCATGAGCTCCACTCCCTCTCCCTCCCCTTCCCCAGCCACACCACCCCC